TATTCTATAATAATGTTATTTTCCTCTTTTAATATATATTTTTTTATATTTGAAGGCAAATTCTATTGATGGTATTGACTGAGTTTAGATTTGCACAAAAATCAGTTGCTTACAGAACGTAGCATTCACCCTAAAATCTGCGTGGATCTTTCTCTTGTGTCCACACACTCAGAATCACCATTGGTCTCAAGAATGTGATTATCCAATGCTGAGATGTAACGGTGGTGCTAACTCATCATTTCATCACAAGTCATTGGACCCGACGATCTTGTGAGGTCCCTTCCAGCCCTTTACAATCTATGGATCTATGATTGGGCTCCTGCAGCTTCAACGAAAATCAACCATTTATTTTTAAAATTAAACATTTAATAAGAAGAGCTTTTTCAAGTATGGAAAGAAAAATAATTGAAAATATTTTCTTTTCATCATTCTGCAACTCCTGCATCCTGTTGCTAATGTGATTGATTGATTCAATGCTGGGCATTGCAAAACCCCAAAGAACAATAAAACTAAAAGGGAGGAGCCATTTAGCAGAACAGTCTGTGAGATACAGCTATAGCTATAGATCTAGATATCTATATAGCTATAACCCCAGAGCACAATAAAACCAAAAGGGAGGAGCCATTTAGCAGAATAGTCTGTGAGATATAGCTATAGCTATGGATATAGCTCTAGATATAGCAATAGCCATAGATATAGCTATAGATATCTATATAGCTATAACCCCAAAGCATGATAAAGCCAAAAGGGAGGAACCATTTATCAGAACAGTCTGTAAAATATAGCTATAGATATAGCAATAGCTATAGATATAGCTATAGATCTAAATATCTATATAGCTATAACCCCAAAGCACAATAAAACCAAAAGGGAGGAGCCATTTAGCAGAATAGTCTGTGAGATATAGATATAGCTAGAGATATAGCAATAGCCATAGATATAGCTATAGATCTAGATATCTATATAGCTATAACCCCAAAGCACAATAAAACCAAAAGGGAGGAGCCATTTAGCAGAACAGTATGAGATATAGCTATCGCTATCGCAATAGCTATCGATATATTAAAGTTGCTGATCAGCATTAAGAAAAGAAAAAGAAGTAAAATTCTGTGGAAAAGAAAAGGACCCTAATTTGTACCAGGCACGCTGATGTTTTATCGGACAAGGATGCTTTCCTACTGGGAACTGAAATGAAGCTACTCTCCCAGAGCCCACCAATCAGCCTTCTCCAAAGGCTTGGACCTGTGTCCTGAAGTCCACTCCAAAGTCCACTCCCTGAAGTCAAAGTGATTTTTCTCTAGTTATCAATGTGCTTTGGTTCTGACACGGCGGTTGCTGTTGCTGCTACGGTACATCCTGAGTAATCTGAACCCATTTGGAAAGCAGCCGCCAAAAAGCCATTTGGGTCACTGAATTGTTCGGGTACAAGAAGCCGCAGCATCTTGTGAGTAATGTTAACACACCAGGCATCATATAAAGCCATCCTAGGCTTGACAGTACAGATATTCTCTCTTAAAAAAGAGAACAGTTTCTAACACAGTACCAAAGGCTACAAGCCATTGTACTGAACTTCTGAGCAGATATATAGCTCTGTAGTCAATGAAGCTTAAAGGAAAACAGTTAATTGTGCAAGGCCAGTAGTTGCAAGCTAGTAGAAGAAACCTGGCATTTGGATGACTGCGGCTTCAAATAACCGAGGACGTCCTGTACTTGTTCAGCTGATTCTTTTAAAAATCAGTGTTCTTGCAGCGTTTACCTTCTTTTCCCTTCACTTCTTGTTTTTCCTCCTATGACTGTCTCATCTATACAGAGATTGTGAGATCTCTGAGACAGAGACTGCTTTTTGATTAATGGCAGGAAGGGCTGATGTCAGATAATTGATTGGGGCTTCTCATCATCATCATCAGAGTGAAAAGTTAGAAGCAAAAAAGCCTTTATCTATTACTAAACCCAACTATATGACCCAGTGCTCCAGCGCTAGACTTCTGATAGAAATGTCCACCTTCCGATGTCTCTAAGAAAAAGCAGTTCAACTACGGAGCCAGAGGGACATATAAAAGCAAATCTTTTATTTACAGTGGACTGACCCTGCTGTAAAAGTGCTGCTTGTGTCCAGCCTGGGAATTGCTGTGGTGTGGTCTCTCTTGGCAGGTCTGGTTTGGTCTCCTTCCTCTTTGGGATCTGGTGGTTCTTTATCTCAGCTTCGTCTTTCATTTGCAGCAGTGTTGATGCCCACCGTTGCAATTGCCGATCCACCGTTCCCCGTGGAAGCAGAGTCTCCGGCAGTGGCCGTGGTTGCTTCTGCATTGCAGGGTGCTGTAATAGCTGCCTTTGGCTGCA